ATTGCTCTAACTAGAACTATCAGTATTATGTTGACTGGCTAGAACTACCAGTACTATGTTGACTAGAAGTGCTAGGATTACAGGTGTGTACCACCGTGCCTGGCTGACTTTTTTTCTGTACCTTTTTAGAGACAAGATCTCACTCTACCAGGCTGGTCTTGAACTCTTAGGCTCAAGTGATTTGCCCATCTTGGCCTTCCAAAGTGCTGGGATTACAGGTGTGAGCCACCGCGCCTGGCCCAGAGGAGCTAGTGCTACTAGTTCTAAATCTGACTAGAAGTCAACATAGGTTTTTTTTTCTGAGATAGGGTCTCACTCTGTCACCCAGGTTGGAGTGCAGTGGTGTGATCATGGCTCACTACAGCCTTGACCTCCTGGGCTCTAGCAGTCCTCCCACCTCAGCCTCCTGAGTAACTGGAACTACAGATGTGTGCCACCACACCTGGAGAGAGATACATATTATAATAAAAATTATAATATAATTATATTTATAATTATAATAATATAATATGTTATAAATATATAATATATAAAATTATAAATATATTATCTAATATATAATATAAATATTATATAATATTATAACATGTCAGTTCACTGCAACCTCCGCCTCCTAGGTTCAAGCGATCCACCCAGCCTCCCAAGTAGCTGGGACAACAGGCACCTGCCACCACGCTTGGTTAATTATTTTTGTAGAGATGAGGTTTCACCATATTGCCCAGGCTGGTCTCGAACTCTTGAGCTCAAGAGGTCCGCCCACCTTGGCCTCCCAAAGTGCTGGGATTATAGGCATGCGCCACCGTGTCCAGCCTTGGGCAGCCATTTTGGACCATGAGATGGAAACTGCCAGTTGTCTTCAACAAGAAAAAAAGCACAAGATGGCAAAAGACTGGGCTCCTGACACCGTAAAGCAACTATGCAGCTCTGGATCACTTTCTTTTTTTTTTTTTTTTTTTTTTGAGACGGAGTCTCGCTCTGTCGCCCAGGCTGGAGTGCAGTGGCGCGATCTCGGCTCACTGCAAGCTCCGCCTCCCGGGTTCACGCCATTCTCCTGCCTCAGCCTCCCCAGTAGCTGGGACTACAGGCGCCCACAACCGCGCCCGGCTAATTTTTTGTATTTTTAGTAGAGACGGGGTTTCACCGTGGTCTCGATCTCCTGACCTTGTGATCCGCCCGCCTCGGCCTCCCAAAGTGCTGGGATTACAGGCGTGAGCCACCGCGCCCGGCCTCTGGATCACTTTCATTCAGATTAATATGAGAGAGGAAAACAAACTATTTTTTTGACTAGGAGGCAGTTGTTATTTGAACCTTTCTTATAGCATGGAGCCTGTATCCCACCATTGCAGTTTGCCTAATGAATAAATGGATGCTTGAATAACCAAAGAAGCAGTCAGATCCAGGCTCCCATACAGATTCATGCACAAAGACTCTGCCTTAGCCTAGGTGGGAGCAACGTCCAAGTGCAGTAGAAATATTCATGGCTGGAGGCTAGTTCTTTTTGATATAGGGTCTCACTCTGTTGCCCAGGCTGGAGTGCAGTGGTGTGATCACGGCTCACTGCAGCCTTGACCTCTTGGGCTCTAGCAGTCCTCCCACCTCAGCCTCCTGAGTAACTGGAACTACAGATGTATGCCACCACACCTGGAGAGAGATCTATATAATATATATCTCTCTCTATATATATTTATATATCTCCACCATATATCTCCAGGTGTGGTGGCACACATCTGTAGTTCCAGTTATATATATATCATATATAATATATATTATATATAAAAATATGTATAATATATAAATACACATATAAATAAAATATATAAATATGTATTTATTTTATTAAAATAAAATAAATACATACATATATATTACATATATATATGTACTTTTTATAGAGACATGGTCTATGTTGCCCAGGCTGATCTCAAACTCTAGGACTCAAGTGATCTGCCCACCTTGGTCTCCAAAAGTGCTAGGATTACAGGTGTGTACCACCGTGCCTGGCTGACTTTTTTTCTGTACCTTTTTAGAGACAAGGTCTCACTCTACCAGGCTGGTCTGGAAGTCTTAGGCTCAAGTGATTTGCCCATCTTGGCCTTCCAAAGTGCTGGGATTACAGGTGTGAGCCACCGCGCCTGGCCCAGAGGAGCTAGTGCTACTAGTTCTAAATCTGGCCTTTCCACTAACTAGCTGTGTGCCCATGAGCACCCATGTCCCCTCTCTGGGTCTCACATTTCTCAGTTGTAAACCAGGCTTAGCAAATCTTTAAATCTATGCAATTTAAAGATTTTTTTTTGCTCTTTTGCAATTGCATTTCTAGGAATCCATTCCCAGGGAAATTCTCACCGCACAGCACATGAACACAGGTGCCAGGATGCAGCCGCACCTTCCTTTGTGGAAATATCCTTAAAAGTGATTAAGTAAATGAGAGTTTATCTGTGCTCTGGAGTGCAAGACCGCGGACTATGGCTTTCAGGATTCTCTGGTGACACCTGCTGGCACAAAGGGATACTACAGCCCAGCTTGGCTACGTATTGGGAATTTCTAGAATAAGAGAGGTTCGGGGTAATTGTGTGAGGGTGGTTTGGGGAGGCAGAGAGCAGGGAGAGATTTGGAAGGAAGGTCAAGGCAAGGAGGTGGCCTGAGTGTGGAGGTTGCAAGCATAGACCTGGGTTCCAATTCTGGCTTCACTATTTACTAGCTGGGTGAGCCTGGGTGGATTTGGGACTTTCTCTGAGCCTCACTTTCTTCTTCTGTAAAACAAGGATCCTAGGCCAGGTGCGGTGGCTCATGCCTGTAATTCCAGAACTTTGGGAGACTAAGGCAGGCAGATCACAAGGTCAAGAGTTCGAGACCAGCCTGGCCAACATGGCGAAACTCTGTCTCTACTAAGAATACAAAAATTAGCTGGGTGTGGTGGCGTGTGCCTGTAATCCTAGCTACTCGGGAGGCTGAGGCAGGAGAATCGCTTGAACCTGGGAGGCAGAGGTTGCAGTGAGCTGAGATCATGCCACTGCACTCCAGCCTGGGTGACAGAGCAAGACTCCATCTCAAAAAGATAAAATAAAATAAGGATCCTAAGGCCCGTGTTACAGATTATTGGTGAGGGCTGGGTGAAAGGATTACTTTATTTAATAATTTATTGAAACAACATTGAGCACCTAAGATGTCAGTGATTGACAGTCTCATCTAGGTGCCAGGGATACAGCAGGGGATGAGGCCTGGGTCCTGCCCTCCTGGAGCTTACAGTCTAGTGCAGAGAACACAACAAACCAATAAGCATGCATATGACATAATTTCAGGTATTATTTTTATTTATTTATTTATTTTTGAGACACAGTCTCACTCTGTCACCTAGGTTGGAGTGCAGTGGTACCATCTTGGTCACTGCAGCCTCCACCTCCTGGGTTCCAGCGATTCTCATGCCTCAGCCTGCCAAGTAACTGGGACTCCAGGTACACACCACCACGTTGGCTAATTTTTGTATAAGTAGAGGTGGGATTTTGCCATGTTGCCCAGACTGGTCTCGAACTCCTGTCCTCAAGTAATTCACCCACCTTGGCCTCCCAAAGTGCTGGGATAACAGGCATGAGCCACCGTACCCAGCCTAATTTCAGGTATTGATGACACTACAAAGGAAAATAAAGCAGGAGGCGTGTTGGTGTGGGTGGAGGCATTGTTGCAAGTGGGGTGCATGGGGAGGGTGTCTCTGAGGAGGCTTGAGCAGAGCCAGAGGAGCCGTATCCTGTGTGCATATGGAATGCATAAGAAATGCTAGCAGAAGAGCCTCACATGTAGGAAAGAGCCAATAAATGGTGGGTCATCATCTTATTACACACAGCAGAGCGAAAGGAAGGGAGGGATTGAAATCCATTTCCCAGGGTCTGCGGCAGTCACAGAGAGTGACAGAAGATTCCCTGGGCTGGCAGGTGGAGCAGCAGCCCTGCTCATGGTGTGGGGAGTGGGGAGCCCTGGACCTGAGGAGACCCAGTTCTGGGTGGCCTTGAGCGAGCCACCGTCTGGGCCTCAGTTTCCTCATTTGGAAAACAGGGCCGATAATGCCCACTTTGTGAAACTGGGGGGTGCCATGGGCTGAATGATGACCCCTCCAAATCATTATGTTGAGATTCTAACCCCCAGTACCTCCGAATGTTACTGTATTTGGAAATAAGGCCTTTAAAGGGGTAATTAAGTGGCTAGGCACAATGGTTCACACCTGTAATCCCAGCACTTTGGGAAGTCGAGGAGGGCAGATTACTTGAGGTCAGGAGTTTGAGACCAGCCTGGCCAACATGGTGAAACCCTATCTCTATGAAAAATACAAAAAGTAGCCGGGCGTGGTGGTGCACATCTGTAATCCTAGCTACCCAGGAGGCTGGGGCAGGAGAATTGCTGGAAACCAGGAGGCAGGGGTTGCAGTGAGCCGAGATCGCACCACTGCACCCCAGCCTGGCCCACAAAGTGAAACTCCCTCTTCCGGGGGTGGGGGGGGGAAGAAGAGGTAATTAAGTAAAAATGAGGTCATTAGGGTGGACCCTAATCCAATATAATCGTTGTCTTCATAGGAAGAGGAAATTTGGACACAGACACAAACAGAGGGAGGGCCATGTAAGCCCAGAGCAAGAAGGCAGCCATCTACAAGCCTCGGGAGAGGCTGCGGGAGAAACCAGCCCCACTCACACCTTGACAACAATCTCTGTTGTTTAAACCACACAGTGTTACGGCGAGCCCTGCAAACTGAGATGGGGTTGATGTGGAAATACGGCTGGGCACACAGGAGACCCTCAGTGGAGGCTGATTTCTGTGGCCCAGTGCCACATGGAGCCCGACCATTGGCTGAGCTGGAGGCCTGATTGTGACCACTCAACGTCTCTGTTAAGCTCAGGGTCTGCCTTGAGATCCTGCACTTACCACGGAGTGGCCCTGCCTTGGGGCCCCATCTCACCTCTTTCTGCCCTCCTTTCTGGTTCATGACTCAGCCATCCACTAACGTCTCATGGTAGCACTGTGGCCACTCCGTAAACGACAGCACCACTGGCGTCTCACTGGGGGCCAGTCTGGAAGAGGGAGACCACCGAGACATTTCGGACAGAAGGGATGGGATACAGGCGTTGCTTACACAGAGGACGGATGAGCCGAGATGCAGAAAGGCCAGGTGAGGCACTGGCCACAGCTGGAGGCGCTCCGCCCTAGGCCAGCGGGACAGAAGGAAGCTGGGTCCGAGAAGCCAGGGCTGGAGCCACAGTGGGGGCTGCCTGGTAGGAGCCGACCAGGGAGGGAGGGTCTGTCGGGCGGGGGCAGGCGTTCTTTGCTTTCCGATCCAAGCCCCGCCCTCTGCAGCTCTGTTCTGTCTGCCCCGGAGCTGACCCTGCGGCGCCTTTCCCAGGCTCCCGTCCGGTGAGTTCCTATTGGCCAACGGGAGGCCCCAGTCGGAGAGCGCCCCGGGACAGGCCCCTGTGCCTCCGGCTTTGCGGAGTGACGCAGGCCCCGGGCTACAGCAACCCTACCAGCCCCTCCAGCTTACAGGTGGCAGTGGCTCTTTGCAGCTGCGATTTCTTTCTCGGAGCGTCCTCCCCATCCGGTACGGCCTCTGCCTCCACCATCGTCTCTGTAACCCGTTCCCTGTGGGAGAGTCCCTGTTGCAGCGTTCAGAGGTTTCGGTTTTCCGGCTGAACTTAACGCGAGGGAAGGCGCTGACGGCAAGGTGGCAGGTGACCAGCCCAGCAGGCCGCCCAGGCCTCCCCTACCTACAGACAGAAGCGCCGAGGCCTGCGGAGGGGAGAGGCAGGTGGGTGTGGGGGATCGGGGGCAGCCCTGGAGTCCAGACAGGCCTTGTTTTGTCCCAGGAAGAAAATTCCAACACAGACCACAACACCGATGGACCTGGAAAACACTGTGCTCAGTGAAAGAAGTCAGACACACAAGGACAATGTTGTATGAGGTACCTGGGATGGGCAGATTCTGAGAGACGGAAAATAGAATAGAGGTTACCTGGAGAGAGGGGGTAATTGTTGAATGAAGACAGAGTTTGTGTCGGGGATGATAGAAAAGTTTTGGATACAGAGAGTGATGACAAGTATACAGCATTGTGAATTTTCTTTTCTTTTCTTTTCTTTTTCTGTGACAAGGTCTTACTCTGTTGCCCAGGCTGGACTGCAGTGGTGCAATCCTAGCTCGCTGCAGCTTCGACCTCCCGTGCTCAAGTGATTCTCCCACCTCAGTCTCCTGAGTAGTTGGGACTACAGGTGCATGCCACCACGCCTGGCTGATTTTTCTTGTATTTTTTTTTGGTAGAGATGGGGGTATCGCTATGTTGCCCAGGCTGGTCTTGAACACTTGGGCTCAAGTAATTCTCCCGCCTTGGCCTCCCAAAGTGCTGGGATTACAGGTGTGAGGGTGTGAGCCACTGTGCCTGGTGTGAATGTATTTAATGCCACTGAATTTTACACTTAATGGTGAAAATGATAAATATTCTGTTAAATATTTTACCACAATAAAAAAAATCTGTGACAGTTGTCAGAATGAAAACCTTCACAAATAGAGAAAGACCATGAAAAGGGAAGTCTCATGCTTATATGCCTGATAAAGAATGACTGTAAGAACTACAACCCTTGGCTGGGCGCAGTGGCTCACGTTTGTAATCCGAGCACTTTGGGAGGCCGAGGCAGGTGGAACACCTGGGGTCATGAGTTTGAGACCAGCCTGGCCAACATGGTGAAACACTGTCTCTGTTAAAAATACAAAAAAAGATTAGCCGGGCGTGATGGCGGGCGCCTGTAATTCCAGCTACTCAGGAGACTGAGTCAGGAGAATAGCTTGAACCTGGGAGGCGGAGGTTGCAGTGAGCTGAGATCGCGCCACTGCACTCCAGCCTGGGTGACAGAGTGAGACTCTGTCTCAAAAATTAAAAAAAAAAAAAAAAAAAAAAGAAGCCGGGCACGGTGGCTCACACCTGTAATCCCAGCACTTTGGGAGGCTGAGGCGGATGGATTACCTGAGGTTGGGAGTTTGAGACCAGCCTGGCCAACATGGAGAAACCCCATCTCTACTAAAAATACAAAATTAGCCAGGTGTGGTGGCGCATGCCTGTAATACCAGCTACTTGGGAGGCTGAGACAGGAGAATCGCTTGAGCCCAGGAGACCGAGGTTGCGGTGAGCCGAGATAGTGCCACTGCAGTACAGCCTGGACATCAAGCGCAAAACTCTGTCTCAAAAAATATATATATATTTATTTTTAGAGACAAGGTCTTGCTCTGTTGCCTAGGCTGGAGTGCAGTCATGGCTCACTGGAGCCTTGAACTCCTGGGCTCAAGCAATCCTCCTGCCTCAGCCTCCCAACTATCTGAGACTACAGGCAGGCACCACTATGTCCAGTTAATTTTTAAATTTTTTCATAGAGGTGGGGTCTCACTATGTTGCACAGGCTGGTCTAGAAAATTTTAAATTAAATATGTAACTCACATTTACAGTTCACATTATTTATTTATTTATTTATTTATTGACACAGAGTCTTGCTGTGTTGCCCAGGCTGGAGTGCAGTGGCATGATCTCGGCTCACTGCAACCTCTGCCTCCTGGGTTCAAGTGATTCCCCTGTCTCAGCCTCCCGAGTAGCTGGGATTACAGGCGCCCGCCACCACGCCCAGTTAATTTTTGTATTTTTAGTAGAGTCAGGGTTTCACCATGTTGGCCAGGCTGGTCTTGAACTCCTGGCCTCATGATCCACCCGCCTTGGCCTCCCAAAGTGCTGGGATTACAGGCATGAGCCACCATGCCCAACTGCAGACATCTTTTTGTTTTGTTTTTTCTTTGGAGATGGCATCTCACTCTGTCACCCAGGAGGGAGTACAGTGGCATGATACCTGCTCACTGCAGCCTTGACCTCCTGGATTCAAGTGATCCTCCCACCTCAGCCTCCTGAGTAGCTGGGGCTACAGGTGTGCAACACCACGCCTGGCTAATTAAAAAGGTGACAGAGAGACCCTGTCTCAAAAAGCAAACAAACAAAAAACCACGTGTGTGCAGGTGTGTGTGTGTGTGTGTGTGTGTGTGTGTGTGTGTGTGGGGAGAGAGAGAGAAAGAGACGAGGAGGATATGATACATCAAATGTAGTAAAATGAAAACATTTGGGAAATATTTGAAGTATTTGTAACTTTTCTTTAAGTCTGAAAGTATTTTAAAATTAAAAAAAAGAAATAACATAAAAGGTAAATAGTGCCAGGTGTGGTGGTGCACGCCTGAAATCCCAGCACTTTGGGAGGCTGAGGCAGGTAGATCACCTGAGGTCAGGAGTTCGAGACCAGCCTGGCCAACATGGTGAAACCTCATCTCTACTAAAAATACAAAAATTAGCCAGGTATAGTGGTGGGTACTTGTAGTCCCAGCTACTTGGGAGGCTGAGGCAGGAGAATTGCTTGAATCCAGGAGGTGGAGGTTGCAGTGAGCTGAGATTGCACCACTGCACTCCAGCCTGGGTGACAAAGCAAGACTCTGTCTCCATAAAAAATAAAAAAAAAAAAAGAAAGAAGAAAAAGGGTGAATAGTACCAAGTGGTGGTGGAAGATACGGGATATAAAACCCTTGGGCACAGCTGGTGTGAGTGGAGAGGGGATAGCCTTTCTGTAGAGCACCTGGTACTTAGTCAGATTAGTCCCCCCATCCCCTGCAACCCATTCCCAAGCCAAAGTCCCAGAGACATCCTCACGCCAGCCCTGGAGGGTGCAAGGAGGCGGCAGCTGACCTTATCTGTGGTGGGGCAAGTTGGGGGTCACTTGGGTGTCTACCCCAGGGACTGGGCGGCTGAGACTGGGGACTGCTCACAGAAAGGACCGTGGAGGAGCCACAGCCACAAAACCCTTAACACAAGTGTTCATGCACAAAGTAGCCACATGTGTTTTGCAGGGACACATTCCAGCAAAAAGACACAAAGTGACAGAATGGCTGCCTTTGAGTGGGGGTGAGAAGAGGTGGATGGCAGGTACCAGAAGAGAAGGGAATAAATATATGAAGAAAAACGACCCCCTCGGGCAGTGCCTGGCACAGCATAAGTGCCCAGGAAACAGAGGCCCAGCTGCTCACGTTCTGGGCAGCAGGGCTGGGACCAGCGCCGGCTTCCTGGTTAAGGAGGTCACCCTTTCCTCTTGAGGGGTCTGAGTATGCATGTCAGTACCTGGTGGGCACGCAGCACCCAGCTGACCGGGGGCCTTCCCCTCTGTGGGTGTCACCGGCCTGGCCCTGAGAACTGGATGAAAGCTGGAATAATTCTTCCTGTAATAAAGCAAATGCGACCATGTTCAATCTTTCCCTTCATTTCAGAGGCTTCCCGCACCCGATGCCTCCCACAGCCTCAGGCTGAGTCCCCAGGTGCTCCAGTGGGGGTGGCAATGCTGAGCACTGAGTTGGTTTCCATAGTTTTCATCATTAAAATGTTTAAATGACTAGGCTGGGCACGATTGCTCAGGCCTGTAATCCCAGCACTTTGGGAAGCCGAGGTAGGTGGATCACTTGAGCCCAGGAGTTTGAGACCAGCCTGGGCAACATGGCAAAATCCTGTCTCTACAAAATGCAAAAAAATTAGCTGGGTGTGGTGGCACTACAGGTGCCTGTAGTCCCAGCTACTTGGGAGGCTGAGATGTGAGGACTGCTTGAGCCTGGGGAGGTTGAGGTTGCAGTGAGCTGTGATCGTGCCACTGCACTCTAGCCTGGGTGACAGTGACAGACCCTGTCTCCAAATAAATAAATGAATAAAATTAGCCTGGCATGGTGGCATGTGCCTGTGGTCCCAGCTACTTGGGAGGCAGAGGGAAGGGCATCTGAGTCTGCGGGGTTGAGGCTGCAGTGAGCTGTGATGGTGCCAATGTACTTGAGCCTAGGCTACAGAGATCTTACCTAAAAAAAGCCTAAATGAAAGTGTGGCGAGGAGCAGGCTTGAGTTATATTCATGCTGAGCTCTTCAGGATAGATTCTCAAAAAAAGTGGCATTGGTGGGGCTCTCCCTCTGTTTATTCACTAATCTGTTTTATTTTTTATCTTTATTTATTTATTTATTTATTTATTTATTTTTGAGACGGAGTCTGGCTCTGTTGCCCAGGCTGGAGTGCAGTGGCCGGATCTCAGCTCCCTGCAAGCCCCGCCTCCCGGGTTCACGCCATTCTCCTGCCTCAGCCTCCCGAGTAGCTGGGAGTACAGGCACCCGCCACCTCGCCTGGCTAATTTTTTTTGTATTTTTAGTAAGAGACGGGGTTTCACCGTGTTAGCCAGGATGGTCTTGATCTCCTGACCTCATGATCCGCCCGTCTTGGCCTCCCAAAGTGCTGGGATTACAGGCTTGAGCCACCGCGCCCGGTCTATTTTTTTTTATCTACTTTTTTTGAGATGGAGTTTCACTCTGTCACCCAGGCTGGAGTGCAGTGGCACGATCTCGGCTCACTGCAACATCCATCTCCTGGGTTCGAGCGATTCTCCCACCTCGGTCTCCAAGTAACTGGGATTACAGGCATGCGTTACCACGTTCAGCTAATTTTTAGTAGAGACAAAGTTTCACCATGTTGGCCAGGCTGGTCTTGAACTCCTGACCTCAAGTGATCCACCCGCTTTGGCCTCCCAAAATGCTGGGATTACAGGTGAGAGTCACCACGACCCACCCATTTTAACATTTAATTGGGTAAGCTGCAGATACCCCTCAAGATGTCAGTGTGCATGTCATTAACTAGAGTCCAATACTTGTTTCTCTGTCTGTAAAGCTTACATTTGATGAATTGCACAACTCTTAGGTGTACTTTTGATTACTTTTTTTTTGAGATGGAGTTTTGCTCTGTCACCAAGACTAGAGTACAGTGGTGTGATCTCTGCTCACTGCAACCTCTGCCTCCTGGGTTCAAGTGATTCTTCTGCCTCAGCCTCCTGAGCAGTTGGGATTACAGGCGCCCGCCACCGCGCCTGGCTAATTTTTTGTATTTTTAGTAGAGATGGGGTTTCACCATGTTGGCCAGGCTGGTCTTGAACTCCTGACCTCAAGTGATCCACCCGCCTCAGCCTCCCAAAGTACTGGGATTACAAGTGTGAGCCACCGCGCCCAGC